GTGCACGGTGATTTCTTCAGAAGAAAAAAGTCCGGGTCTGCCTCCCTTTCTTCTCCTTCTGCTGCTCACCATCTGCTTCAGAGAGACTTCTTCTAGACTCTCCTTTGATCCCCATTTCAAAAGGGGGATCCTGGACCGGAGGGTTCCAGCTTTTCCAGAGAGAGCTCCTCTCTGGAGTTGCTGGCAGCACCGCAACAAAGCCCCGCCGGGGTTGGCTATTTTAATGGCTCACTTGAATGTGTCATTCCATTAATAGCAGTTTTGTGTTACATGATTAGTTTTCCTGGGACATGATATGGATTGATTTCTAGGGGCAGGGCAACAATGCAGTAAAGTGGAAATCTAGGGTGGCATGCTGGTGGATTATCATCCTACCCATCAGGAGTGGATTGGGAACAGAGCACCACATTCTGTTTGAATGTTGTTGCTTTTAGCAATGGGATTGTGTCTAGTTGTACTGCAATGTAAGTAGATTCTCTTGTGATTGATTTTGTGTTGTCTGTAAATTCTACACCATCAGTAACATACAAATAAACGAAAGAAAGAAAATATTTTCAGAATAAAGTAAGATGTTCACGTGCCTCCAAGTAAAAATTAAAAAGCAGGTAAAATTTTGGCTATCCTATTTGAAAAACACTGTTTTTTACCCTTTTGTCTTCAGTGTGGAAAGGATTGTCACTCTTGAATTGGCCTTTTCAGCCACACTAGACACTGTTCCAAGTCCTCTATTCAGAGCACGTCTCTCAAGACTGAAGGATTCCTACGTGTGTGCTCTTTCTGGGTGTTTGTGTAGTGCAGACACACAAAATCCACCAGTGCCATTTGGAAAATTTGAATAAATGGAAAAGAGGGTTCTGCTGGAGGCAGTCAAAATCCAGAGTGCAGGTTCTGTTATTCCATCTTTGGAAGGAAAAAGCAGCAACTGGACACCAAGAAGAAACGAGTTCTTGCTCCGGATTTGGGCCCTGTGTTGGCTTCCTCCTGAAAATTCCCTGTAGAAGGTGCAGTTTCTAGCGGTCAGCCTTCTTTATGGTCCAGCTCACATCTCCATACATAGCTACTGGAAAAACCATAGCTTTAACTATGCAGACCTTTGCCGGCAAGGTGATGTCCCTGCATGATGCCATTACTATAACGGACTATATAGAAGAAGGTGCCACAGACCATGCCTTTGCTATTATAATAGTGTTTGATATACAGTAATTCACATTTTTCAGCATCTGCAGAGAGGGTTTTTTCTGGAACTAATCCCCTACAGATACGCGCGGGGTGTGTGTCCTACTGTATACAGAAATGCAAGGAAGGGGATGTAGGTTTTAAGAACCTGTTTTAAAAAGGATGGGCAAGGAGATGGCCCTGAGGGTCTTGGCCCAACCTACAATGACATGTATTCCATTTTATTTATTTAGTACTTTTATTTATTTTGATTTACTTGTGACATGGGAATGTATTGTCATAATTTGCAGTTCTTGAGCGTGGCCTCTGTGAATGCACACAAAAGGGTTAAATCAGTGCCAGCATAGATCCTCTCAGAATATTCTGGAGCTTAAACAGAAAAGTAACAAAGTTTAAGGTTGCCCCTACCGCAGATGCTTCGCCCACCAAAACCTCAGTTCCTTTAGTTTTAAGCAATTAACCAATAAAGTAAAGGTCCTTGGACACTCTCTTCTCCTGTCCACTTATTTAAAAAGGGGTGGGGAGAGAAATTTCCATGCTGGAAGCCTTTGGGAGCAGTGGTTTTGCAGCAGTGCTCCTGATTCGGAGAATAACTGTACTGGTTGGTGAATTATTTGGGGACAATCACTCAATGGGTTTTTCCTGGAAGTAATTTTTGTCAGGTCTATGTGCAAGAACCAGTTTCTCCCCCCACCATAATAATGAGGATGACAACGATGATAATGATGTTGTTTATTATTATTTAGAAATACCAGGCACAGTCAAAATTATAAAAACATTGACTGGTATTATATAACAGATACAGGTTTTAACCAAAAACCTAAGTGTCTGTTAAATCTCGATGCAGTATATGTGCTGTTTCGCCAAAATCCATGCATTTCTAGGCATATTTTTACAATATTTTTGAGACTTTAATAGGATGCTTCTGAGCACAGGATTGTGGGAGTGGGGGTAACATCATCTTCTAGACCCTCCTAATTCTGCTCCCTCTCCCCATCCCTTTCCAGGCTCCTCCTCGCACTCATTGCTGTATTTCCACACTGCTGTGTCCGAACCCAACCAGGGGCTACCCCAGTTTATCTCAGTGGGGTACGTGGACGGCCAGCTCTTCAGCCAATATGACAGCGTCACAAGAAGGACACAGCCTCGGGCGCCCTGGATCAAGAAGGTGGATGAGGATGACCCCCAGTATTGGGACAGGAACACCCAGATATGCCGGAACAACGAGGAGGTGTACAGAGTGAGCCTGCAGAATGTAAGACGTTACTACAATCAGAGTGGAGGTGAGTGGAAGGAAGGAGGGGGGAGCAGTTCTCCTCCCAGGGTTGATGTTGGGAGAAGGAATGAAATGGAAGGAAGGCCCACCCAGGGCAGGCACCCCTTTTCCCTCCGGTTGGCTCGACATTGATTGGGGGGAGGGAAGAGGAACAGGACAGAGAAGCCCCACTCCGGAGAAAAGAGAAAGAGGGGAGTCGGAGTGGAGTCAAAACGACAGCAATGGTAACCGAAGGGAAAGCAACAGGAGGGCCGAGCTGCTCCTCTCCGGATGTCAAGGAAGGGAGGAAGGCAGGCGGGCCATTCAGGGCCATTGAGCATATCAGGAAATCGGGTTGGAAGCATCTCCCGTCTGGTTTACAGCCTCTAAAGTGGAACGTTTTCTAATTTGGGGGATGGCAGGGGGTCGTGGGGAGACCAAAGACAGGCGTCCTTGGATCCAGTTGTGGATTTTCATTCACTTCCCTTTTTGGACAATACAGGTTTACCTCAAAAAACATGCATTGGAGGTGAATTTGTATTGTTAGTGTTACTTTGAAAGTAAAGGTAACAGCCAGGTAAGAATTATGATGACTCAACAACTGTGTCACAGTGTATAAAATGCTAACTGTTTGAGGTGAGTGAAACAAAAGCGGGCAGCTGGTCCTTTTCTTTAAAGCAGGCGTTGAGCGTGCAGGGTCTGGTTTCAGAGGCATCCAGTCCCC